GATTTTGACCTTTGCCTTGACTTCATATTTAGACACGATAAAGCCATGGGACTCTTTTCATTAGGTTGCAATTTACATGAGCTTGAAAATCCAACCGGAAATGACTTTGTGTAAACCGGAAGTAGCTTTGTTTTGTACTTATTTGATGTTAAAGTATATAGAACCATATATTTTTGGAATCAGTGTCAAGTAAACTATCAAATAATACCGGAACTGACATTTTTCAGACCGGAAGTAACAAATTATCTCCCTTATTTCAATAAAAAAAATTTATAAACCATATATTTTTGGAATTAGCGTACATTAAGGTATCATTTGACACTGTATATGACACTTTAAACCGTATTTTAATATTTTCATAACAAAATGAATCGTAAGAAGTGGAAAGACCTTCAATTTTTTCTGAACAATTGGGTTTTAATTTATATTCCTTTCTTTTTATGGAAAGCTCTTTGTTGTACTAGAAATAATTGAAAACTGTTTTATGTCTTTAAAGAAACTTTAATATCATATCTTTTTGTTTCAAAAGGGCAGGTGAAGAATTGTCATCACTAGGCGTCATCGTAAACCTTTATAAAAATTATCCCCTCTGGAACCACTGGACTATTTTCAACCAAACTTTAACTGAATGATTCTTATGGTATAATGTATACAGTTTGTGTTTTTGTTCTTGTCATCAATCAAAATGGTCGCGATGGCTAAAAATAGATCATAAGGGTAAAATGCATTTAGTGTCTTGTATCTTGAAAACCACAAGAGTTAAAGGAAATCTGATGCGGATGTAAATACTTATAAATCAAGATCTACCTCCTACTTATTTCACCAAAATTATCTTTATAGGAGTTATTGCCCTTGAATGATTTTTTTCAGCTTATATATATTTTCCTATTATCTTGAAAACTATAACAGATAGGTAGAAACTGTGAATAGCATAAATGATCATCTATACAAGATCGACAAACATGGCTTATGACCGAAACAATTGAATGACTTTTAATAGTAAATGTAGTTACTGACTTTGATGACAATTTGAACTAATTTCCGAGTTTTTGCCTTTTACCTAAAAAAAACCAATAATCGATAGTTCGAAACAGAAACATCAAAATGATCAGCAATGCAAGATCGACAAAAATGTTACTATGACTGAAACCATTGAAAGATTCATTATAGGAGTTATTGCCCTTAACTGATAGATATAAAAAGATGTGGTATGAGTGCCAATGAGACAACTCTCCATCCAAGTCAAAATTTATAAAAGTAAAAACCATTATAGGTCACAGAACGGTCTTCAACACGGAGCCTTGGCTCACACCGAACAGTAAGCTATAAAGGGCCCAAAAAAAATTACTAGTGTAAAACTATTCAAACGGGAAAACCAACGGTCTAATCTATATAAAAAACGAGAAACGAGAAACACTTATGAACCACATCAACAAACGACAATTACTGAACAGATTCCTGACTTAGGACAGGTGCGAGTATGTTTTTATTGAGTTTCTAGATTTTGACTATTATGTCGAAAAATATAATAGAAAGGTAGAAGCTGAAAACAGCAAAAATTATTGAAATCTTATAGTAGATATTATCCTTAAACTGACGACATTTTATTTCTTTTTGAGTCTTTTCCTATAATCTCGAAAAAATAAATAGATAGGTAGACACCGAAAGCATTAAACATGATCAGAAATACAAGATTTACAAAAGAACCAGGAAATCATCTCAAAACATCACTGATCTGTCTAGTTTTGATACAATTCAAATCCACTGAATCCTGTTAATTCTGGATTCGTCAACCTAACAGTCCCTAGTAAAAATACATAGGCTGAAGATTGAAGTTGAACTTTTACAGGGTGTACCATTTTACATGATGTACGGCGGCATGTAGACTGACTACCGTTACAAATTAGCTGGACACAGTTCTGACGTTTAAACCACGATGCCAAAGAAAACTGTCATTTTAAATCACCCCACCTTTTCTAAAGAATAGCATTATACAAAATTGTAGTAATAGAACAAGAATTGTCCTTTCTCGGTCAAATGAATTAAATTAGAGTTAAATATAAGTTAACGTTTATTTCAAACATTGTCCATAAGGAATCATACTTTCAGGAATTTTTTATTACCACTCAATTTATTCATGCGGTTAATGTAGTCAATAAAAGATTGCGTTATACACAAAAGCTTAGTTATCTTGTATCTTAATGTTCTGATGACTGTGTTTATCGCATATTTAAATTAAGAATACCGAAGATAGATCTGATCTGCTCCATGTCGTGACTTCCGCATGTAATAACATTAATTAACGATACCATTTGTACTGCAGAAGGTGCGGGTTTCGACAATTAATGCCTGATCAGTGATACTCTAGGCCACACTATGTGATACTCCAAAACCTATAACAAACATTGAAGAGCTGATAAAACCAAATAGAACAAGAAAACAATCGTCTTCATTTATAAGATAAAACATCGACAAGTTAAGTATTGAAAACTGTAAATGTATACACATCTTGCGAAACATACACATTTCTTCTCTCATGGCTTGGCCTGTTTTTTTCGACTAATTTTTGTTGCTTTTTCGATGTTAAAATCTTCATAAACAGCGTATCATTTGTTGTCTGATCTCATTTCTTTTTTTGATGAAGAAAATTATCAATATTTGTATATTGTAGGGTAGTTTTATTCTGGACCTTGGTTACAATTCAAATATAATATTCGTGCATAATGGAATGTGTTATACAAAGGTTTTACGTCAATTTTTCAGTTTGAAAATAAACTGTCTATTAAGGTCGTGCAAAATACATTTAAATATAACACTATATGATATGAGAGCATGCAACCGTGGTAAGGTTAGTACAAATGCAGAAAGATTCACGATTCATTCATACAACCGTATAACGGTCTGTACACGTAAATAAGGTGTTTAATTGTTCATTTAATTCCACGTATACCTTACCCATAGAAACATATTAAAAGGATAAATTGCCAATAAAAAGAATTAAGGCAGTTTATTTTTAGATACTGATTTTTTTAGCTCGGATATACACTTTTTCTGGTGAGTTCGCTTAAAATATCTGCTGTAAAAGTCAACATCAAAAACATAAATGATATTATTCTATATTTGTCGTACTGACTTTTCTGCTGTATCTGACGACTTTTAGCGCCTGGTGTAAAACAGAGAGAAAGTTCTGGTGAATAAAGATGTTTATTCTTGGAAATCAGTAATCAAAGTGCTTACAAATATAACACATTAAAATAACAGTCTCACTTGATACTAATTTTAATTTCAAAAATAAACTAAATCAAGGGACATGACTCTATTCAAAATTTAACTATTTATATAATACTTGCCCAAAACTTTTTTTTATCAAGGGAAACAGCTTTACAAAATAAAGATGTTTATTCTTGGAAATCAGTAATCAAAGTGACCGTTGAACACTTAAATTGTTTCCATGCAGGCTTAGTCACATGATCACTGATTTCTTAACCATCTCCTGTTTTCACCAATCAAAAGGTACCTTGTAAAAACAAAATGTTAATATAACATATCTATTACATTGATCGTGATAGAAATGAAATAGTTTGACATCCACAAAAACAGTGTATATCTCAATTTTTGTTGTTGTTGCAATAAGTTAGTCTTATTTAATGTGGGATTCGTGAATTTAATATTGGAAGGCAAGTCGTTGATACGTTATATACGTTTATAATATTTCTGAGCGTTTAACGATTGAACCAATGTCATGATAGCATGTCTTTTGTTGGAGAACATTTGCTGACCGGTCGGTGTCTTTTGAGAATTTTTGTCGTTGGGTTGCTGTCTCAATCATGAATATCACACATCTCTATAAATTTATAGTTTTGCTTTTGTCCTTGTCATAGTGTCTGGCTGATTGCGAACTTCAGGGTAACGATATATTAGTGCTGTTCGCCTGTGAAGGTGAAGATTTCATCTGACATTTGTCCAAAACACAAACAGCAACCACGATTTAGAAAATCTAAAACACAATAGAAATAATTACAGTGTCTGTATTTGCTTTCCACGGACAGTTGATACGTCAGCATTATTTTTTTTTAATAAATAAGATGTTTCAAAAGGCAAGATTTTGTAGGTTGCTATGGAAATGAAATTGAGTATTCCTTAGTATTTGGGGTAACATTAATACTTACGCATTTTGTCTCTCTTTGGAAGATATTTTTTTGACTGGAAACATAAAACAAACGATTGTGCTTTTTATACAAAACAAAAATTCAATCATATTGTGCTGTGAATATTTCAGTTTACATTAAAACAAAGTTTTTAACACATGCTTATCTTAAAACTTTTTGGTCCCATTTAATCATTTAAATCTTGATTCCTCAATCTTTAAAAAGAAATAATGTACTATGGTTGGAAGAACTAATGTATATGTAGCTGAACATTTTCCGGACCAAACTATTAAACAAAGTAAATAAGAAAACTTATGTAGTTCGAGATGCAAATCCATATTTGGAAACTTGTTTTTGTCGATTGAAAAAAAAGATTGTTCTGATGATCCTCAATGCTTTTTGTTTGTGTTTTCGTTTTTTACGCTGTACTTCATGACGAATTAGTCCTGATGTATCGTACTTCAACGAATACCGCACACTAAAAAACCTCTGCTTTGTGAAAAATCAATTCAATTGAAGTACTTCCTCGAAAACTGTCACCCCATCTTTTTATTATTATACAATGTTTTATTTATAAAACATTGATTGTCACTTCTCGTTCAAATGATTTAAATCACAATTACATGATTTTTTAATTTTACACATTTTAAAGGGCATGTCATAAAATATTAAAAAAAAACCATTGAAATATATGCGTGCAAATAATTTAGTTGATGAAAGGTAGCTTTTACAAAGAAGTAATATCATTATACCGTAGATAAATCTAGATTTGCTTCATATCGTGACTCAAACATGTAAATAGACAACATTTCATGCGTTTAAATTTCAATATTACATTTCAGATTGGTAATAGTAATGTCAGCAAGTCAATTAGAAGTGACAAGAAGACAGTGTCTTCTGTATCTTGGATGATTATAGTTGGACACGGATTCCATGGTTTCATTGATGGTTTAACAATTGGAGCGGAATTCACAGATAGTCTGATAACGGGCATTAGTATCAGTGTTTCAATATTTTGTGAGGAATTGCATAACGGCCTAGGTAATATCTTAAAACTTATTATTAAGCATAATATTTGGAGAAGATACAATGAAAAGAATGTAATAAATATGATATACTTCCATAAAAACAAAATTCAAAATTAGTTGCAAAACAAGGTTTAACGTGCATAGCCATTTAGGAACTATATATGTTCGATGAAACATAAATTTGTTTAGCGGCACTTCAATTTCCACTTGTGACTTTCGTTTATTTCTTCCAAAACTAAACATTAATCTTAATCCAAAATCCAGTATAAAAATTATATTTAAGACATTTACCGTTTGACTCAATTAACAATCTATTAAATAGCATTGTAATGCCACATAAACGTCACACTGAGAATGTAATGTTGGTTATCATAACATTTTACATAAATTTATGTTCACCGATTTGATTGAAATTCTAACATTTGATTTATAATATACTTAAACGTATATCCAAATTTCAAAAAGTCTGTAATAAACAATAAACGATACATGGACTCCGAAATATGTATCAGCATTTCGTGTGTATTTTAGTCTGACGCCATTTAAAACAATCGAAATGATTTTACAGGATTTTCTCCCCCTTCAATATTCTTAATCAATTAGAAAAAAACAAATAAAAACTAGTAGAGGGAATCGCAAGAACTCTAAAAGCAGCGAGACGTTGTGTGTTAACAGGGTAGAGTTTCAGTTTTATTTAAAGATTGATAACAATTTATAAAACTGAACACCATTTAGATGATATTGTCTTTACATCAGATAATCATATTTAAAAAACACACAGTTTTCATTCATATCATAATGTTATCCTAATGTGATGTTGAGCACAAACTAGCATGCCCCATAGCTAGTTTATGATTTAGTTCACATAATAATTATAATTATAGCCAAATTGTACATGGATTCTTTGGACTCTTTCAAAAACAAAGCCAATATAAGATAACTATTAAACACTAAGTCATGAGATTACTGTATGTAACATTACTAAAACTGAGCAGTTTGTGTGTCTGACTGATTTGAGTATAAATTCTGTATAATGTTACAATAAATATATTATATAACCACCTATACATAATAAAGTAGATTCATATACACCTACATTAATTTGATAATAATAGCAATAATGTAACTGTTACAGTCATTTAATTATTCTATTTATTCTGCAATCGACCTTTCTACTATACTAATACAGGTGTACAGATAACACGAAGCGATATACGTATACTAGACGTATGTAGTCTCCTGGTATCTTGCTTCTATTGCGAGCGAACAGTTATGTCAAATTACTGTTTACGTCACAGTTCAATTTGGGGTCCTCATTGCGGTCTGCGTTTAAGTTATATCGATTTCTTTCAAAAACAAATTCAACGATTGGGATGAAAAAAAATGTACAAAATTAATTCCAGGATAAAGACAATAACTGTTTAGTGTCTTTAAATATCAGCTGTATTTGTACTCGGCTCGAAACAGGAGTAATAGCTCGCTGAAGCTCGCATTACACCTGTTTCTTAGCCTCGTACAAATACAGCTGATATTTAACATGTTTAAAGATACTAAACAGTTATTGTCTATATATTTCAATATTGACTGAAGATCTTCTAATCTTTCCAGATGATTTTAAAAGTTATGGAAATATTAAGACTATATGTAATGCTTCAAAACACTGCTTAAATATGTCAAGCCAGGACCCAATTAAAAAAATATGCTGACTATACTATTTGAGCAGCTTGCAATTTGAATATTAAATTGACTGAAGCTGTGAATACAAACTTTTTTTTTTGATATTTTGTACATAGGTAGTTGAATGAGTCCTCTACTAAATATAATAATCATATGAACAATATTAAAATAAAAACATTAATTCAGACGCAACACTGAACTTTGGTTGACAAATAAGTAAAGAAAAATAATAGAAATCTGTTGATTAAAATCTTTTAAAGCAGTTTTTGTTATAGTTAGAGTATGACCATATAATATGTAAAAAACCTGAAAAAACATGAAAGAAATAATAAAATTACTGCATCATTGATAAACTTCATTCATTAATCTACATTGTTTGGCATTATCCCCACATTCATTAATCTACATTGTTTGGCATTCTCCCCAAATTCATTAATATTTTTTTTTTATTTAGCATTATTCCCACACTTGTTATTGTAGAAACAGGTTTCTATTAGGGAAACATTTTTACTATAATTTTGCTGGTTAGAAATCACCTATGTGCCAAAAAAAAGGGATCTAACCTTCGTCTTTTCTTGTGCTTAAAATATTTATAGCATTTTTTTAGAAACCATTCTGCATACTGCAGTATACACTAAACTAAACTATATCTATCGCTATTTTGTGCATTTTTCCTTTGATCTCTTTTGGTGATAGTTTTTCATATCATGCTACTCGCTTGAGATGGAAAATTATCGTCAGAAACTAAGGGTGCACGTGACGTTGTCAACGTAAACATGAACGACCTCATAGACAAAATAGCAATGAACAGATTATCAATGGTCTTTCAAACTCGAGGAGGAGGTAAGAAATGATTTTGTTTTTGGGGTAGGTACTAGAAATTAAGGTGAATCATGTTATTGAATATATTTTGTTAAGGTCTAAGAGTGGCCTTCATGGTAGTTATCAGGATTTCTCCAATTCTTCGTCAATTTATCCCTTTCTGCACCCATTGTATAAAAAAAAATAATCAACGTGTGGTTCGTTTGATCTCAGGTCTTCATTGGTTAAAATCCGATTATGACGTCGAATTTTCCTGCTTTCCTCTGAATTTCCTATTGTGACGACATGAAAAAAGGCGACCAAGCCTGATGACGTCACATAGAAAGAACACATTTTTTTGCAGATAATTCAAAAAGAAGGAATACGTTTGCCTGGGTATTGTTTGAAAATCATTAGTTAAACAGATTCCACCACCAAATCTCGTGTAATACGATATTTATCCACTCTCGGCAGTTAAATTTTAAATATTTAAAACGCTCGGCGAGCCTCGCGTTTTAAATTTGAAAATTTAACTGGCTCGAGTGGATAAATATCGTATCACACTCGATGTAGTGGTAGAATCTATATGTATCACTAGATATTATCCTTATAAAGAATTCTTCATCTGTTCAATTTGAATCAAATTGGTTCAATTTGTGTTTGCAAAGAGGATTTTTATAATTGGTATCAAACTAAGAATATATAATTAAACTATGTTTACATAATGGTACCACAATTGATAATTGTGTGTCTTGCATGAAAAACTGCTTATGGGATATCTTTGGGAAAAACAGTCAACATATTCATGATTTATTGAAAATAGAAATATAAGAAACAAGTGAAAACCTCCTCTATTTATGAACAAAAAGAATTACGTCAGAAAATCACATTTTATAGGATTATTTAAGGAAAAGATCACAGCTTATAACACATCATTTGATTTCAAACTGTCTTTAACAACAAAAACAACTTAACCATTATTTTTTGCAATTAATCATATCAATTAAAATTGTATCAAAATAGAATCTGCTCAAGTAGACCTTAGGTTTATCATGGTATTACATCCTTCAGTTATCCACACATTGCTGATAAACTGAGTAATATGTGTTCGTTTTGTTTTTTTAGATAATAATGCCTTATTCAACTTCCTCAGCTATGCCATGTCAGCCAGTTATTGTCAGAACAGGAAGCCAGATGACCTTGGAGAAAACCACCAAACATCAGTAGGAAAACTTGACAATCCTTGTCCAATCAGATCAGAGTCAAGTGTAACTCGCCAATTGAGCGTCACTGATGAGTAGACGAAACGCGCGTCTGGCGCAAATACAAAATTTCAATCCTCGTATCTATGATGAGTTTATTTACAGGGTTAAAACTCAAAAACTTAGAGTTGAAAGGTTAACTTTAGCAGTAACAATGTTTTAAATAGCTCTTGATAAAATTTAAATTGAACAAACAATTTTCAATAAGATATGCTTTTGATATAGGCATATTTGTAGCAAAGCACCCGGTTAGTATATATTCTTATTAAAGACTGAAAACAATTCATATAGATATAAAAACATATGCAGATGATATAAAAATTCGTATCAAAATGCTTGAAATTGGATTTTAACTGAATGTAAAATTGAAATAAACAGTTATACTTTTTTGTAAATAGACATTCAAGATTATGATAGTACTTCATGATAACTCACTATCATAACTCTGCATTTTGTATTAAAATTTCAGCACAACATTAGAATAAAATAATTCAAATTAACAATACAAATTGAAGACGAGATATTGTATGCTGAATAATTTGCATAACAAAACAGGTAAAACAACAAACAATCAATTATATAAAACAAACAAAACAAAACACACCTCATGTAAGTCCTTGATACCATGCTAACAATAGAAAAATATGGTCTGAAATGTATGTGTCATGTTATTTCAAACTCAAGCTACACAAGTACAATTTCAGTAGACAGATAGGAAAAATAAAAGATAAACATAACAAAACTAGTGGAGATCATGTTAATTTGAGAAGTCGTTAACTAAGTTATATAAGTAATGTTTTAATGCAAGATCCTTAATCTTACCCTTCAACTGTTAGATATTTTCTAGTCATGCACTATTTCGTGTATGTGTTAAACACTTCACATATCCTCGTGACAGAATTAAAAAGAATAGATAAATGATATAAATTTTCATTTCTGAAATTACCTAAGGTTTAACATCCCAAAACTGACCATATTAAATTTTGATTGTGATGCTGAGTACTGCCCAAGATGTAATTGCAAGGAATGGGAACAAAATGTAATTTTAAGGAGTTGGAACTGGGGGGTGGGGTCATAGGACACTTTAATTAAACAAATACAAATTGCAGGGTAATATAAAAGCCTTCTGACCCCGAATATAATTATTTCTGGAACAGCCCTTATGTACTCATTGCTTCTAAATGGATTATTTATTTGGCTAAGCAGACTTTCTTTTAGAGTATACATGTAAAAGATTATTACACAATTATGTGTGATGCTTACAGAAATCTGTCTCATAAATGAAAATAAGCACGTTATGAATTTCGTGCCTACACAGCACTTTTCTGGACCCACTTACATCAGAAACAGTCAAAGTTAAACATTTGAAAGCCAGGAATGTAAAAATATGTTGATTTCAATTCAGGAGATATATGACCAATGAGACCTCAAAAGGATAGCCAAATTCATCTGATGTATATTTTGACTGAGGGAGTTAGTTTCTTAAAAATAAGTATACATTGTAAAACTAACTGATTCTGATAAGCATATTTTTTTTTGCAAGACATTAAATTATCAAAATATAAAAATTAATTTAAACACCACTTCAAAAATGCGTATAATCAATAAGACTGCTTAAAACATCAATCATATAACTGACACGGGTTATTCAGGTATTTTGTTTGATAATGAAAAACTTGGTAACATATTAGAATATCTTGAATGTTGTACATCCCTAAAATATCAAACCATATAAACAAATTGTCTTTCTAACTAAACATACTAACAAAATGCATTGTTCAAGCCATTTATACAAATACCGTTGTTTACCTGCCTGAATTTACTAATTACATGGTATTTTCTATGTGTGTTTATTGAATTTATCTGAAATCATGTTATAATTTTTCATCTACGTCCTTTTTTTAACCATAACTAACTTATAGAAACAATTTCTAAATAGGCCATTAAACATATTCACGAAATTTACAGGAAATAAATGTGTTCTGAAATACAAGCTGTCTTGGCAATATACTTATTTGAAGGCAGAAATTATTCGCTGTAACAACAGGTTCCAAAGTACTAATTAATCTGTCCATATTAAAGTATATCAGTTTGAAAAATTGTTTTTGTGAATTTACTCACTTTAGTCATGCAAGATAGAAAGAATCAATAAGAAAATCAACAATACAATTTGACACTATATAACACTAAAAATATATTAATTTAATAATACATGTACATGCAAAATATAAGTCAATGAATTTCATCCTTTTCACTTGAAGGAAATTTGTCCGAAGAAACTACTTAAATACATATTAAATCTTTCAAAAACCGTGGATATGTTTTTCAGTATAATAAATATATACATATTCAAAAAGACTAGATTCATCATAAAGACTTAGTAATACATGAAAAAATATTTGGTTAAAGAATTTGTTGTATCTCCTTTTCTTCATGACACATTAATTATGTACAACACAACAAGTACATAAAATACAAGTACAAAACTTTGGTGCAAAACCTTTTTGAAGTAGACTTAGTACAAAATCAAATACATTTACACATCAAAGCATTTTAAATCTGAATTTTGTGTAACAGAAGTTTGTGGTCTAAATAAATGCCTTATTTCGTGTGTTGATATGCAATATATTTTTGAAGTAATGATTTTGTCATGCACAAACTATTAACCTTGCAGACATTGATAAGTTCACATTTATTATAATTTGATATATAAGTAAAAGTCATGTACACAAGCTAAGGGCTTTGTCCCATTAATAATTAATTTCATTTGCTACAGCTAAAACATTTCTAAGCGACCAAGCACAGAAAGCACTATTTGGCCTTTATACGAAGATACGTAACCTATCAATACCTGTCGACTTGCAATTACAACTGATTGATACACTTATACTTCCCATTCTGACATGTGGGTGTGAAGTATGGGGGTTCGGAAACAATTACATGCTGGAAAAATTCAACTACAGTTTTGCCAAAATGTGTTTAAAGTTAGATCCAAATTTTAAGACAAATGGAGAGCTTGGTCGTACACCAATAAATACCACAATGAAAGTTAGAATGGTGTGTTTTTGGAACAAACTTCTCGCCAATAAAAACAAACTAAGCAGTATCCTGTATCAAATAATGTTCGTCTTAAAAGATGATTACACCTTCAAGTGGATTGACCATCTTAAATCGATTTTGGACAATTCTGGACTTAGATATGTTAAATCAACTGAAAAACGTTCTGAAACAAAATCTTAAAGATGAGTACATTAAAAAATGGTATAATCAAATTGACAATTCTTCCAGTGGTGAATTTTATGGTCTGTTTAAAACAATGTTTGGATTAGAAAAGTATCTTTTACAATTATCACCCATTGACCGTGAATATATTTCAAAATTAAGATGTTGTAATTTGAAAATTCCAGGAGAGCTGGATAGGTGGTACAATATTCCGAAAGAAGAAACGGTATGTAATATCTGTATGGATGCAATTGGTAATGAATACCATTATATATTAATCCATCGTAGTAAAACATATCAGAAATCAACACATTCCAGAGTAAAATATAAAATATCCCAGCGCAGCAAAAATGAAAAGATTACTATCATTGGGTAATATAAAGATACTAAAAAATGTATCTCTATTTGTTTCAAAGTTAACTAAAGTATTATAAAGTATAGTAGGTATTAATATATTCCATCTTAAAGTTTGGTTTTTTTTTTGTTCTTTCTATGATTGTATGTGATTGTAGTTTGTATATGATTACTTCTTGTTTCACATGTGAATGTCACAGAGTGTTTTTAAATAAAGCAAATTATTAAAAGCATATTGTCTATAGACTCCTTTTCTTGAAGTACAAGGTTGGCCTTTTTGAGGTTTAGGCTATTTTTCTTGCAAACCATTATAACATTTAAAATGGAAATCAAGATTAATAAAACATGGCCAAAATTGTCAATTGACTCCTTAATTAAGTAATTGTTCTTAAATGTCTATGTTTATACATTTATCATACCCAAAGATACGAATGTTTACTTTTTGGGGTGGTGTGACTTTATAATTTTGAACCTGTCCGTCAGTTTGTCGTCATTCAATTATCGAATGCTAACCCAGGATAACAGATAAAAGGACAGATGAATGCAGAAAATAAATTTTTATTTCAGATTAAAATTATGGTTTTTATTCATTCTCAAGTCTTCTTAAGAACTACTGCTTCATTCACAACAAAAACCGTCGACATATTTAGGTAGACCGTCACAGGTACACTGTACTTGCCCTTTCATAGTTACAGGACAGACCATAGGTATGTTACAACCCAACTCTACAAGAAAACATTCATATTTTCAATAGATATATCGACCTGATTTATTCCGTATCAACTTCACAAATAATACATGATGGTCTTGAAGTATATAGTCTAGGTACTGACGTTATTTTTCATCTTAAATTGAAGAGCAGACCACTGCTGGTTATAAATATTATCAAAATACAAAAATTGTGTAATATTGTAATAGTTCTCTGAAAAGTTAATGTATTAGGAAACTCATTGCGTATGCAGTTGTTGTTTATTAAATTCAGATTTCACTAGTGTTAGATATAAGGAAAAATATTTACTACCTCAATTGCTTGCTGTAAATCACCTAATAGTTATTTAATTTTCATCTTATTCTTGTATAGTTAGGCCGTGACTGGCTTTTCATTTGTTTTGCGTTGTTAATTTTTCCAAACCTATTAGCTAGCCAGTTGGAAAAACGCAAACACTAATTTCGGAAATACACCACTAAAAATCGACTCAATCTCATCTTTTCTATCTCCGACCATCAAACAATCAACTAGTAATCGTGTGCAAAACAAAAACATTGAACATTGATTTGTATGTTCTAAATGGATTCATGAGATTTAAACATTCATCGACAAACTACTAATGCCTCTTTATTACAACGGAAACGGAACTTACATGAATGTTCTTAATTTAGATATTTAATTTTGTCTCAATCAAATGTACACCCTTCCAAGTATAAAGAGTAAACATGATGATTGTGTAATTTTGACTACTAAAATGCATTGATCACAAGTTGTATGTTCCTGTGTAGTTGTTATTTCATCGACGTGTACCTGGCTATCTTTATTCTTATTAACTGGAAATAGAACGGCGCTCATCTAGCAATATCGGAGATGAAATGTTAATAGCTCAAAAACAGTTTTAAGTCAGTCATGAAATAAAACAGATTGGTGTAAATAATTTCATAGTTGTAAAATGCAAATTAATATTTGTTACTTACCCTGCTTCTTCACTAAAATATAAACAATATTTCTGTTTCCTTAAAAATTGCATTTCATTGTTAAATCTTTTTAATTAATTAACTAAGGACACAGTAAATCCTATTTAAGGACAAAAAGGTAGGTCTAGATGAGGGTAAAAATAAAGGATAATGGGCAATCAAAACAGAATTATGGCACAAAATATAAAGAATAGAGAAAAATATACAAAACAAAACATTGAATATAGAATAATTTGGTGCTAAAATATCAAGCATAGAGTATAATCGGCAAAATAAATACAGAATAGATAAAAATAGCCCAAAACCTAAAAGAATACAGAAATGAAGGGCCCTCATCCAGACCCTTATTACGGTAAAATGTTTTTGAACAACTAGATTTATTATCTATTGGAAGCTAATTATAAAAAAAACAACAGTTGAACGATAAATTTACCCGAAATCCAACTTTCTCTGTGTCTTATGTTATTCGTATACACAGGAAAATTATAAAAGAGAACGAGGTTTTCTCCAAATGTTAGAAGAAAATCTAGAATGGATTTGCTCTATGGATGTGTGGCATATAACAAATATTTTCAACATAAAAATTTATTTTCGCATACATTGAACACATGGTCGTCACGTAAACAAACAGATAAAGGTTGACTTCGTATATGCACTTTTCATTGTGCTTGATATCGATACCATGTGTTGTTCGTTGTTTCACATAAGTCAGTGTTTGGTTGTTTGTCTTGTCTGTAATTTTTGGTAATTACTATTTACTCTTTATGTAGTATAAGAGTTATTTCAAAACATGTAAGAATTCATTAATCAAGCCACACATCTCAACTTAAGTGCCAAAAATTGTAGTTATTATCTTCAAAGCAAAAAGTAAAAATGACAAATGTAGATTAAGTTCATGTCAACATGTTGTCAATAATACAAACAACAATTAGAGAGACACGAACGCGTCAAGGAAGAAATATCACTCAGGATGAATCAAATATGACAACCCTTAACATTTTGCGCTATCTTACGGACCTATTCTGTGTAAAGGCCTAACTGGGAGCCCGGATTCAATACTAACTTTCTTTTTGAATTTTATTTATAAACGACAAACGTCATTGTCTACGCTTTCAAAACATGACTATCTGAAAATGTCTTCGTTTTCATTAAGTATTTCAGATGTTAAATTACCATCAGAATGTAATCAATGATTGATATATACTCATAATGCTTCAAGTTTTCAGTATTATGTAGCGTGTACAAGTTATCGTTAAAGAAAACAAAACAGTTATTTCATTAAATTAAAACTTACCAAATAAGTTAAGAATATTCCAACACACAAGAATGAATAAAATACACGTATTCGAAATACATAATAAACATCTATACTACGTGATATACAATTAAAATAAGTAGAAAAACGTAAACAGAGAGACGTATGTTTTCCGGATTTGTCGCTATGCAGATTTGAAAACTATATCGATTGTAATATTCTATCAACCACTTTTGAAACTTATAATAAGTTTATCTTGTGAATTCCCTGGTTCATTTGATAATTCACACACAGGGATAAACCTATTTGGGATAGTTGTACCTTTTAGGGTATTTGTTAACAACCAATTGTGCAATAAACTGAATAGTTATTAAAAAATAGTATTTCAGATGCATACAACTGTTTAAGTGAAGAAGACGGTATGTTAGGCCATTTTAATCTCATATAATGTTAAAATCACACTTACCAAAAACAAAATATTGATTATTTTTTTTTTATCAGAAAATATTACTAATGATAACGATGATTATGATATCTATTCGAATTATTCGTTCAAATAAAACACTGCATACAAAACTGCTGCAATGTATATGTTTGATCACTGATATTTAGTAAAAAATGCAGATTGCTTAGACTTTGAAAAATTTACAGATATATTGATATAAACATTCAATATAAAAAAGATCTTGAAGTAAGATCAAAATTCTATTGATATGTATTGTATATTAATACAAATGAACAATATTTTCATGTTTTAGTGAAGCACTTTTTTCAATTCAATGCCAGATTATCTAGATAGGCGAACTTTGGCGGTTAAAAGTAAAATAACAAAAATAGCGAACTCCAAGGAAAATTCAAATGGCACAATCAAAACTCAAACACATCAATCGAATGGAAAACAACCGTTATATTCCTGACTTGGTACAGGAATTTCCTTATGAAGAAAATGGTGTATAAATGCCTTTTAAAGTGGATGCTTCTTAGATGTTAGCAAAATTGTTAACAAAGTATTTATTAGTCAAAATCTTTAATATCAAACATTCAATCAGGTTTAAAAAAAAAAAACCTCTAAACATTGATGTATATGCTTTTAGATCATAAATGTATTATTCAAAGCAGACGAGAAAAATGTACAATGTATTTACTTACCTATTCCACAATCAACTAAAACAAAACGGGAAGTATAACCAGTTATGATGTACAATCAATTAAACAAAAGATATGTGTGCAAAGATTTGATATATATACAATACAGGAATTATTATTTCACGCCAGGGGTTGACATATTTGTTTTTTTTTTCATTATATTGTACATAAATTAGTTAGTTTTCTCGTTTGAATTGTTTTACATTTGTCATTTCGAGACCTTTTATAGCTGACAATGATTTGCACCACGTGACTTTGGCCTTTTTGATTAAATTACTTTCCTTAGTTTTAGAATACAAATATTAATTATATCAAATTTGCGGATAATCCGGTCTTTCCCGTTTTGGATCTAAAACTAGCGTGTCTTTGAAAACTTACTTTGGCGGATATTTTATACAAATATTTTTTTGTAATTTGAAGGACAAATGCTTAAAATTTGAAATGGGAAGGATGGATGAAATCATCATGGTTTTAAAAGAGTTTGGCTGAACACTTAAGAAAGCAGGTGAGATAAAAGTTATTCAACCTGCAAATTAACCTGCAAGGTGTTTCCCTATATGCGGACAAATCATGACAAATGACTTCTTGTATCTTTATTTCTATTTTGAATCTTGCTTTTTAACGAAAAACCGTTATTTTACATAGCAATTATAATACGGTTACGCTTTCGATTTTCAAACTGAAAAGGCCGAAAGTTGTCAAAGTAGATATATTTGTTTAGGGGCCAGCTGAAGGACGCCTCCGGGTGCGGGAATTTCTCGCTGCATTGAAGACCTGTTGGTGGCCTTCTGCTGTTGTCTGTTCTGTGGTCGGGTTGTTGTCTCTTTGACACATTCCCCATTTCCATTCTCAATTTTAATGTTCATTTGTAAACGAATAGAAGGGAAGAAACATGTACAATTCACCTGCATTCGACCTTGAAATTGGCATATTTTCATTTTATTTTAGGGGCATATATTATCCTATTGTAATGGCTGCCGTCATAATAAGGCAATATGGCCGGTATGCAAATTAACAAAGGACCCCAAAATTTTGCTATATGCACCGTGTTGTTTTTATAAAGGGACATAACACCACTACTAACCGTGTATTGGAATAAGCCCTGCCTAATAACCCAATATGGAATATACACGGTCTCTTCGATGTTGCTTTAAACCAATCATATTCCTAGAAATGTGTAAGATAAAGGTAAGATAAATCATTATACTCTTCTGCCTAGTAGCAATTTAAATTATCGGCCTACTTTTCACTTTTCACAATTAATTGTTCATTTTGTCTCGTCCCTCGTCCTGAATATGCATGAAATATTTGCCACTGAAATTAAGGAAGCCATTTTGTTTCATTGGCTTAGCTAAAAGGAGATAGATATCTCTAAGGTATCAGAAACCGCAATGCAGGATGAGTTTCACAAAAAACCTTACGACTAAAATTGATTGAAAGTATTCCACAAATCAGTATACTTGCAATCAATTTTAGTTGTCCGGATTTTTTGTGAATCTCATTCTTGAGCATAAATTAATGTAGCCTTTAAGAGTAAAATATGAAAACTTACCGACTTTAACACATCTGCAATTAAACAATAATAAGCGTTTAGAATTTATTCCCGGTACGTTACATTGAAATTCATTGAAAAGGCTAGATGCTCCAGACTTGGGACAGGTGCATCAATGCGACATGTTAAACATGTTTTCTAAGATCACATCCCCCTAAATCTCTAGTCTAAGTGGAATAAACAAATACACAATAGACATTGACATGCCAACTCCAGACCTCAATTTAACTGATCGAAAGATCAAGTCATCATATGATAATAAAGCACAGTCCCTTATACAATTTAGTATCGTGTCATCATAAATTATACGAAACGAATCTAACCCGTACATGCCAGCAACTGGTTTTAGAATAAATGTGTTTTCTTTATGCAGCACCTCAATATAAAATTTACGTCAAACAATAATGATATTATTTGCAGCTTTTTCATCCGGGACGAAAACCAATGCATTGTCGAGTTCTTTTAGCTGATGTTTGATACGAGAAATAAGGCTATTATTGTTTTATTCTAAAGTCATTGGTTAATAGTATGCGTCACTGTATTACCAATAAATAGAGCGATGGTAGGTATTTCTGACCAATGAACCCCACACTGGCTGTTAATAATATATGTTATTGTATTAATGATTAATGGAGCGATAGCAGGTGTTTCTTTCCAATGCACCTCAATTCGCACTGGTTGTTTGCATTACTTATTAATGCCGAGTTATATCAGGAGGTGTTTCTGACCAATGTTTCTCACAATGTTTTTTTTTGTTATATACGTTACTGTATAACCTATCAATGGCGAATAATTTCAGGTTGTTCTGGTAAATTTATCTCACAAATTCGTATTCTATAAGCGTTGATGTATTACCTTTTAATGCACGTGTCGATTGGAAGTCAATGCCAATGCACACATCACATAATGATGGGTAGTTTGATAGCACTCCTGCAAATAATCATTAAGTAATGAATAAAATATTGATGGAAGAATAGTCTGAATATGTAAACAGATATATATAATATCACATGGAACGTTTTTAAAATTTTGCGTATTTCAATCCCTGTACAAATATTTTGTTTTGTCTAAATATTTTTCCAATGAATATGATAATAAAAAATCTGGCATTGGTTACTGTATGCCAAAATCTGGAACGTTTGTTGGCAGACAGTGATTTATAATGGTAAAAAAATAACTTAATCTGATTGCATGTGCTCTCTGATAAAAAATAAGAACAGTACCTGTAACATATTTTCAATAAATATATAATCATGACAATTATTAGCAAAATGGATAGATTTAATATAATATGTCATTCATTTACTTACTCCAAGGACTAAAATGAAGAATTCTAATGTCGTTTTTTGTATCATAGAAGGCATCTTTTCTGCATGCATATAATGAATGAGTTTCATTACCTGGAATGTCCTGTCTAATTACAAAAAAAGAGAGAAAAAAAACATTTGCGGTAAATACAAACTCAAATACATTTGGATGGGGGAGGGGGGGGGGGGATGATTGATCATAGTGATTTATAACGGCTAAAATTGAGTGTATCTATCAAGTTTGACAGTTGTGTTTCCAGCTTTAGTGTAGTAATTAGTTCGATAACAACGTGACAAAATTCACATGTATGTTAACGTGAACACTGTTTTTTTCATTGAAATAGTTCTCTTTCTTCAAAACATAAATATCTAAATTCATTATTCCCGAAATGTTATATCACTATTCAGGATGCGCCTGTGATGGTATCGTGGAAACATTCTATCCACTATTGCGATAAGCCGTATGTTTGATCCCCGTCCGACTAAATATAACATTGAAAATTTTAATACGTATTTTACTGCTTCTCCGCAACGTATGATGCAATCAGGAGTACAAACAAAGACAAGTCTGTTTTCAAACAAGTTTAAAAGTTGTCGCCTTGAAAATGTGAAGACTAATTGCATATCCCTTAAACAAATTAACCAAGACCCGATAGCGCTGCAAACGCAATAGCCCCAGGTCCATGTTTTTGTGATTGCTAGTTTTCATCATTATGTAAATGAATAATACCTGACAGGAAAAAATATTCATCAAATTCAGGAAAGACTATTAACAAATAATTTAACAACTTCAGAATCAAAGGGAGAGGTAACTTTCCTTTTTAAAACTAATTGGGAGAGGTAGTGAGACTTAAAAGGGAAGAGCTCGTTTGATCTTGACGCTATAATGTTTTGTCTTGTCATTTGTGCCCAAATGAAAAATAAAAGTTTTCTCAGTTTATATCCTAAATCATTATTTATAGTTACACAATTTGATTTGTTAACTTGTCAGAAATTAACTAGATATGTTATTTGTGTGCACCACATTTTTAATATATTATTTTTTGCATATCTAATGAACAGAATTAAAATAGAAAACTAAATATCATTTATCGGTTAGAGGATAAGGAAAACTATTCTGATTGTGATATTCATTGTTTTTAATTACAAAATGTATGAGTAAAACAAAGTTTAGCAACTTAAATCAATAGATTCAAACAATGCAGTTGCAATTAAATGCAATTTAATTTTGGATGTAACACGTCTTCTGATTGGCTGATAGAGTATTGTTTTTCACCTCATAGACATACTTTTGTTTTGTGACCGTGACATCGTCAACGTTTCTTCATGATTTACTCCTTACATATGGAATTGATAATTAAATTATGAGGAATGACTGTAAATTTTTTCTTGCATATATACTTGTCACTTGGGCGCTGAATGCATTCTTTAATAATTTTGTGACTCTTTAAACTTCAGTCTACTGAGGTTTGCATTTGCCTTTCCTTATTATTGTAAGAATGGGATTTTTGTCATAGTTGGTCCGGGTCCGATTCGTAGTACTAGTGAACTAATGTAAATTCGCAAAAATAACAAATTTTTGATGAGCGAGTTGGAAAGGAATGTTAATGTTTTTTTTTATAAGTAACGGATCAAACGTTAATTCAAGGCCATAATCATTACGTTTTAATGAAGTAAAAATTGTTTCGCTGAAAACCTTGCTACACCTTTCTGTTGATGTCTTTACTAGATTAATGTGTATATTTGTTTGAATTTCGTAGTCGGTTGTGTTGTATGTCTGTAATGTATACATAAAAATAAGAAGATGTGGTATGATTTCTAATAAGACAACCCTCCACAAGAGACCAAATGTCACAGAAATTAATAACTGCAGGTCACCGTACGGCCTTTAACTATGTATCTGATGTAGGTTTACTCAGTTTTGGCTGCTGGTTCCCAATTATTGGCACATTAGCCTATTACTTGTATGCCGGTATTGGTTGCTCAACCAATGTTGTCAATATAACGGAACTATAAACAACTGTCATACAAGTGGAAGGTTTAGTTAGCTATAAAACCAGGTTTCACCCTACATTTTCTTCTGAAAATGTCCGTACAAAGTCAATAAAATGGCAAGTGTTTTGTTTTCCACATGTTCTGGGGATTAATAGTGTTTGATGTTTGGTCAGTGTTTATGGACTTCCCGTTTTTATTTACCTTGGAGTCCGGTATTTTTGTTATACTTTTTATGTACTCTTGAGTTACGTGTGCCGAAAAGGAAAGAATTACTTCGATATGTTAGCTACGGTCTAAACTGGGCCACACATCCTGAAGATATAACGAGCAATTTTGAAAAGTGACTTTGTCGATTACATAGGAGATGAACTCACAACAAGAAAAAAACATTGTTCGGGGAGATACCACCTACAAAGAAAAGTATTCGGTTAAGCAGGGTTCGTTTCAAAGGTGCATGAACTGTACGGTATCATATACCAAACATCCTAGAGACATATTTCATCCATTCGTTTAATGTGTTTGAGCTTTTGATTTTTCCATTTGATTAGGTACTTTCCGATTTGAATTTTCATCGGATTTTGATATTTTTGTTATTTTACTTTTTATACTGGTACATGATAAAACCATAGGGTCTTTTGCATTAGGTTTGGAGACGTATGACTTTTAAAATGTTAACCGATGGTAACCTTGAGTAGACTGTAAATAGTATTTTTGCACTTCTTTCATGGAAAAGTACATAGAAACCATATAATTTTTTATCGGCATAAAGTAGCCTATCATCTGAAACTGGAAGTGATTTCTGTAAAACTGCAGTGGCTATTCATTGCTATTTTATCAGGCAAAAGTATGTAGAAACCATATATTATTGGAATCAGTATAAATCAAGCTTGTTTTTTTATTCGAGCGTCAATGATGAGTCTTTTATAGACGAAACGCGCGTCTGGCGCAAATACAAAATTCAATCCTGGTAACTATGATGAATTTATTAATAGACCGGAAGTGACAATTTTTAACCGAAAGTAGCACATTACCTTTCTTATTTAATGCAAAAGTCTATAAAAACCATATTTTTGGGAATCAGTATGAAGAAACCTATGATGTGACACCACTATCAACTTTGAGTGAACCGGTACCGGAAGTGGCTTCTTATCAATGATTTGAAAAGTAAATGGTGGAACAATTGGTTTTATTTTCAATTTTTCGTGTAAATATGTCTCTTGTAAATTTCACTACTTGTTCGATATTTCGATCAGCAAGTTCGCCCAAACATTTTAGTAAAGCAAACCTTTTTTTTTTTTTTTTCGGGAAACTTGGATATATATAGAAGCAAATAAACGGATTGGGTATAAATATTTCTAGTATTTTGAATTCCATTATACTTGATAGGAAAGTGGAGAAATGTGTATTTTTGAAGTATATAGAATAATACAAAAATTGAAGAATTTAACTAGGAATGAAGCGTTCATTAGTTGTAAAGTTAAGACTTATTCTTGTGCATGTTTTTGAGAAAAAAAGGTAGCCACTGAATTTTTGCTCTGAGAGAGACAGAGACTTACCTCAGTACAAAAAAATGTCCCTGCGTAATAAAACATTCAAATATCTCTTTTAGTTTTCCATTATTAGTTGTCACTATTGCTCTAGTCGGGTCATCACTACTGAAATGTACAATATCTCCTTCACCTTCATACATGTATGCTCTATCTTGCATGTTACAATGGAAAGCACACATACCTTTATAGTTAACCGGCGAACCTAGAAAAAGTGAAATAACAAAAATACCGAACTCCGAGGAAAATTCAAAACGGAAATTATCTAATCAAATGGCAAAATCAAAATCTCAAACACATCAAACGAATGGTTAACAACTGTCATATTCCTGACTTTATACAGGTATTTTCTTATGTAGAAAACGGTTTTATAGCTAGCTATTAGTGGAAATATAAGTTATTGAGATAAATGATTTAATTGAATTGCTTTGTTAAACATCTATTTAATCCAATAATCGTTTGACAATATTTTCAAAATCTGGTTTTTTGCCAACTTTGATTTCTTATAATATATGTAATGTTTGTCATTAATCGGAAGTCATCATTGTAACAAACATATATGCGGGTTTATTTGCTTAAAAGATATTTCAAACGCTGTTTTATATTCCTTTATTACATTTTCTGCTGCGAAAGTTTCGTACATTAATTTTCATGTGACGTTTATGGTTAATTAAATTGGGACTAGTAATGCATGCAAATCAGTTAACACCTTTTTAAAGTATTAAGAGTTAAAAGAAATCAAAAGGAAAAATCGTTAGCAGTAAAATATAAAATTGAGAATGGAAATGGGGAATGTATTCATTTTGATGGTTAATAAAACATATCAATATCATTCATTTTTATAAACTGAATCATGCCTTAAAAATAAAGCTAAAATAATTTCCCCCATCTACCAATGTTACTAGAATTGATAGTTTAGTCTGTCAAAAGAACCATGAAAATTCCAATTTGACAGTATTGACCACTTGACGAGTTTTGTCTTGGGCTTTAAATATAGACACAACTGGTAAATACAGCTCAACCTTGGTTTCCCGAGATGAGAAACAGTACAACAGATGCATCACCCATAAACAACAGCAACAACGTCAATTACAGTGAGGAACAATTGAAACTGTAAGCACATAATAAACAATATTAACAAAGACAACGATGGCGTCAGTAAATTAAGGGTATGCTTCTAAACTGCTCAGCAACAACAACATGATGATCCCTGAATGTATAACGTGGTGCAAGTAGCAGGTCAGCAGGAAACGCTTTTAATGCAATGGTGCATATGTAATACCTATGTAGGGGATGCTATTTGAACAATATTTCTAATATGTTTTAAGGTTGGTCATTTTTAATGGGATAACAGTTTGACACGATAAAACGAAACATGGACAGCACAAGGCATAATGTGTACAAGTATATCATGTTAAAGTACCTTGTTTTACGAGGGATTGATTTGTATATAACATCGCTTGGGACGCATGGAAATTAAAAAGTGTTGTTTAAATTTTTTTTTAAAGGATCACGTTGAAATGAAATTTCTAACAACAGAGTGTACGTACCAGTCTTTTTGTGTAAGGGAATTAAAATGTAAATATGCCTACCTGCTTGAATTAGTGACCACCAACTCAGCAAAAATACAACTTTCCGTTGAAAAAACATTATCTTTGACAATAACAATTGACACTTATCTACTTTTACTGGATACGTGTAGGAAAACAAAATTCTTATGTAATATTGGGCGTTTGACCAGGATATGCAACAGATGTAGACACACAAATAAAGGCAACAGTAGTATACCGCTGTTCGAAACTCATAAATCGATAGAGATAAAAACAAATCCGGGTTACAAACTAAAACTGAGGGAAACGCATCAAATATAAGAGGAGAACAACGACACAACAAAAACACAACATAAATAGCAACACACACAGAAACGAACTATAATATAACAATGGCCATTTTCCTGAATTCGTCCAGGACATTTTAAGAAACAAATGGTGGGTTGCACCTGGTTTTGTGGCATGCCAAACCTACCGCTTTTATGGCAATGTCGAACACAACACCAAAACGACAACATCACATGACAAGACCACAGTACAAATAAATGGGAGAACATATAGGACTAAGAAACACACGAATATTAGCTAACAAAAGGTACTAGGCTTAAAATTCAAACACAATGAACGTCTTGTTTCAAAGGGAAAAGGTTTAAAACGTCTTTTATCGATTCGACAACTGTTTGACTTGATATACATATCTTTGCTTAGTAATCAAGTGTGTATAATAGAACAGGTATCATAACATAATGAGGGTAGAAATGAGATGCATGCATATCTTAGTCGCATGTTATAATGTTTGATAACTCAAAAGCACCTGAAGCTTCATAAATATTAATTAAGAAAGTCAGTAAAACTTTGTTTCCATGACAATGTACAAAACAAGAGTTGACAAAAATCATTGAAAATACCGAACTCCGAGGTAAACTCTAAAAATGCGAAGTCCACAAAAACTAATAAAATCAAATGTTAGACTTTATCAACTAACGGAACGAACGTAAAACATTTGTCATATTCTAATCATATTCCTGACTTGGTACATGCATTTTCCAAAACAAATAGTGAGTTAAACCTGGTATATAGCTAGCTAAAACTTCCACTAGTACGTCAGTCGTTCATTAAATGAGCAACACAAACAGGCATAATAGGTCAATGTGACGATAATTAGGATCCAGCAGCCAAATTTGTGTAATCATACGTCACAGAATACAACACAAATGACTTAAACTTCAGAACAAACATCCAAATAAATCTAACAAAGACACTAACAAAAAATCTAGTTGAAGTTGAAAGTGAATATGACAAAGACAACAACAAAAGAGTTGTTTTCGTAGTTTATAGTATATACAGTAAATAGTATATTTCAAACGATTACTTCCATCGTCTATGATCTATGAGAACTTCTTATGGCCTTTTCAAATTTTGTACATTGAAAATGTAAAACAAATCTATAGATAAATTGCTTTTGTGCAAAATGTTTGATATATGCAGTATTCAATTTCCGCCACAAAGTTATATTTCAATTGCGCCAAACAAAAACAAAAAAAAACAAAAAAAACGCACTTACTTTGCGTCATTTTTCAGGTAATAGGAATTAAGTGTAATGTTTTATCCCAAATGCAAGACTCGTATACAACATTTTGCATAGTACCCCCTCAGAATTTATATGAGTTCATGTTAACGATGTTCGCTACTCTGTTTCAAAATAACAAGCTTTTTAAAAGACTGTTATAAGATGATAGTATATGAATAAAGGAACTAAAAAAGCAGAAAAAATTAAGGTTCCGTGTGCTTGCTTTCGAAATATAAGCCATTGGAAATTTGGCGGGAAATGATTCTCTCTAGATTTTTCATACCTTTAACATTAGCACCTTTTGTCTTTCAAAAACTATGGAAAAAATAACAAGGATTTTATAAAATTTCAAAAATGGCTTTTCAAACTATATGTAATAGAATTATGAAAAGTAAAGTAGGGGTTAGCGGGCAAAATTTGTAATGTCACTACCATGGATAAAACTAGAGGATTCCGAATATCTGTGACAAAAAGTTAAAAAAAAACAAAAGTAGCGAACATCCTTAATTATTCATATGACATTAAAGTGTTTATATGGTCAAGGTGACAATATGACACAGACAGCACATACAGATTATCTAGTGTATTGAAGAATATAGACAAATCTTATATAGAACTTTCTTTCGATAGCTCGAATCAAATTTTAGAATTGCGTTTGAATACGAATATTCTCTTGTTGGGAAGTATATTGGTGCAAAAACTGGGTCGACGTAGTGCAGAGCAATGCTGAGAAGTTAATTAAAACAATGTGTTAATTTAATTTTTATACATTTCTAGCTTTATATTTTTAATCTGAACAGCAAAAAACAGAAAAATTATTTCCACTCTTAACCTGTACTATTAGTCCCAATGAAATGTTAAACTTTAGCGCAAATGAAATATGGTTTAAAGCAGCGCAATTGAAATGTTTTATGCTGATATGAGTACTTATTGGCGAATATGCAAAATGAGGCAGATGACTCTAATAGGACATAACATGTACATTTTCACTATTCGAGGACAATTGATAGCTATAGGACAAAAGAAAATACGATAAAAAGAAAAACAAGTTCACAAAACACTACGTAGAAAACTAAAAGCTGAGCAACACAAACTTAACCAAAACCGGGTTAAAATACGGAATGGGAGGGCAGTTCTTGCTCCACATGTGGCACCCGTATTGGGAATACAAGTACAAATCTGGTGATAAATCTCATCCGGTAACATCACAATTGAGAAAAAAAGATTGTGGTTACGACAATTGGATTATATCCGTGTAACACAGATTTTCCATAACGGTCAACCAATGTCTTGCGCTTTCTTGTAAGCAGCAATCCTCTATCAATACAATTATGGTAGGAAACGTAAACAGTCGTATATCGTATCAACTGAGATATTTCTCTATATGTAGTGGCTGCTGGAATGTTTATACATAGAAATGGAAAGTTCTCAAATGGGATGTAAATTCAACCCTTGTGTCTTAAAAGTTTGTTTTCAACCGACCCTCAATGTCAATTTCTAAATATAAGTGAATATATGACGCTGATTTAAATGTATCTGTGGTATTCTTATTTAAGGTTAATGTGATAGAGGCGTTCAACATGGTCACCAAACTTTGAGGTTTTCAGTGAGAAGACTTCATCTATACAGCAGAACGTTAAAAGTTAATGCTAGCTTGTTTGCATTCTTACTGGAAAGCTCCTGTATGAAATCTCCCGAATGTGAATAAAGGAACAAGTCAGTAAGAAGAGGAGCACAGTTGATTCCCATAGGATTCCAATTGTTTGTTAAAAACACATCATCCAAATGTAACAAATATGTTGTCTTACAAATATAAGGCCTTTTGATGATGTCACTTTCAGAGATTTTTTGGTTTAAATTACTGTGTTTTTTATTTTCTCTCACAAATATGATTTATCACTTCCTACAGATATTGTTTAACGTTATTATCTAAATATGATCTTTCTGTAAACTTGTCTTTTGTTTTCATATAACGACCACTATGGTGATACTACTACAAAAACAAACGTACAAGGTAAAACAATACTAAATGGGACTGTATCAAAAAATAATTAAAGTAACTGAAATCAAATGAAAAGTACACAGTTATGCTGATTAAGTAAATATTCCACCTTTAAACTGTTATTTTGTCATCGTACATCCAAGTAGTCTTATAAAGCCAATTTAAGGAAAATATAGCAAAGATTGTATAATGTTTTATGTAATTTCATCTACCGAATCTAAAATCATTCTGGTTTAAAACTGTAAACCAGAGAATTGCAGTCTAATAAACAACAATGATGAACAATCTTGAGTTCGTGTTGTTGCTTTCTTTTATGTTGTGTTTTGTCTCTTGGTCGCCTTTCTTTTGTTTTTGCCATTGCATTGTCAGTTTGTTTTCGACTTAAAACATCCCTTTGATATCTGTCTTTTAATGACTAAAAGGGTTAGTAGACTGTAATCAAGTTAAAAACCAATAACCCACCATTTTCTTTGCAATATGAGGTTACCAAGTCAGGAATATGACAGTTGTTTTCACTCGTTCAGTTGGTTGATAACGTTTAAATTTGTCAGTTTTTATGGACTTCCGCGTTTTGACTTTACTTTGGAGTTCGGTGTTTTTGTTATACGCTTTTATAATACAGTTCATGAAAGTAATAAAAACAACAGAAAAGACAAGAGGAGGTAAGCATTAGCACTTCAATAACAAAATGGTATATATGTCTTATGTCAAGACTTTGAATAACTAAGCCTAGACAAATTGAATAGATTAAATAAAGGCTAAAATCAATAACGAATTCTTTTAAGATAAAAAAAAAATGTTTGCTAACCATTTTTTTTTTTTTTTTTTAATCTTGAAATTGTGTCAAAACCAATACAACGAATCTCGAACTATTAAAGATGAAAGTAACATATTTGACCAGTGTATGATGCATGGGTCTATTTAAAATGCATGTTAGTAGTGTGTGAAGATGTTACATTAATTGAATTGTAATATTTCACTACGAAGATTTCTCATAACCAGGACCTTCGTGGACTAGACATTTTCAACCATCTTTAATAGATTCTTAAACAACCCCTTTAAAAAAAAAGAGTCAAAAGTTCATCAGTTCAGGAACATCAGAACAAAAGGTTTATTCCTCATAAATACGGCACGAAAATTACATGAGTAACAGAGCTAATGAATAAAAGGAAACATGATACAAAATCAAAACCTTCGTAACAAATAAAAAAGTCAAATAACAAAAAATACCGAACTCAAAGGAAAATTCGAAACGGAAAGTCCTTTTTCAAATGACAATATCAAAAGATCAAACACATCAAACGAATGGAAAAAAGTGTCATGTTCCTGGCTTGGTACAGGCATTTCCTTAGGTAGAAATATAGTCTTGTATATGCATTTTTAGGAAACACTTTGAAAGTATTTATGCATTGTTCAGATCTTGACATTGATGTTTTTCTCATGAATTTAACCGGGCATTATTTCAATTACTCAATTAAAAAGTGGAAGAAAAGGGATTAGCATGGTGTGTGGTTGTAATTTCCTTCTTAAAAAGGAAAAGCAGGTTCTACAATTGTTTTTTTTTTTGCACACAAAGTGGAAAT